ATACTGTATTAAACTAGTACATATTGTGACTAGTGACTGATACATACTGTACCTAACTGATATATACTGTACCTAACTGATACATACTGTAACTAACTGGTACATACTGTAATCAACTAGTACATATTGTGACTAGTGACTGATACATACTGTTTCTAACTGATACATACTGTACCTAACTGATATATACTGTACCTAACTGATACATACGGTAAGTAACTGATATATACTGTAACTAACTGGTACATACTGTATTCAACTAGTACATATTGTGACTAGTGACTGATACATACTGTACCCAACCGATACATACTGTACCTAACTGATATATACTGTACCTAACTGATACATACTGTACCTAAATGATACATACTGTAACTAACTGGTACATACTGTAATCAACTAGTACATATTGTGACTAGTGACTGATACATACTGTCTCTAACTGATACATACTGTACCTAACTGATATATACTCTACCTAACTGATATATACTGTAACCAACTAGTACATACTGTATTAAACTAGTACATATTGTGACTAGTGACTGATACATGAGGTAATTCAATGATACATACGGTAACTAACTGATATATACTGTAACTAACTGGTACATACTGTAATCAACTAGTACATATTGTGACAAGTGACTGATATATAAAGTAATTAAATGATACATATATTGTATCTAACTTGTACATACTGTAACTAACTTGTATTTACTACTACAAGCAGTCACTGAGTTCTTTATAAACTTTCCCGTAATTCCAAATTATATTTTACGTTTTTTTTAAAATAAAAACACGATTTCTATTCTCGAGTGTTATTTTTCTGAACTCCGATTTTTTATCTTTCAGATAACATGAATTCATTGCGTTATTTTGTGTTTCACTTTCTCATTCAAAATCAGCATGGGACGTTTGCAAGACAGACTTAAACTGCTGTATACTGTTTATAAAAATTATAGTACACGGGAGATGTTTCTAAAGCACTTCGAAAATAATGCTCCCTCTTCGGCAACTTTCTGAGAACACAACAATCAGACTGTAAGTATATTGTGGGAAGGATATTTCGTAGACATATTCACAGTGTTTCATTTTAAAGAGTTTGATGTTGCAAGGATAGACACAATGTTTAATTTCAAAGGGTTTGATGTTGCAAGGATAGGCACAGTGTTTCATTTTAAAGGGTTTGATGTTGCAAGGATAGGCACAGTGTTTAATTTCAAAGGGTTTGATGTTGCAAGGATAAGCATAGTGTTTCATTTCAAAGGGTTTGATGTTGCAAGGATAGGCATAGTGTTTAATTTCAAAGGGTTTGATGTTGCAAGGATAGGCACAGTGTTTCATTTTAAAGGGTTTGATGTTGCAAGGATAAGCATAGTGTTTCATTTCAAAGGGTTTGATGTTGCAAGGATAGGCACAATGTTTAATTTCAAAGGGTTTGATGTTACAAGGATAGGCATAGTGTTTCATTTCAAAGGGTTTGATGTTGCAAGGATAGGCACAATGTTTAATTTCAAAGGGTTTGATGTTGCAAGGATAGGCACAGTGTTTCATTTTAAAGGGTTTGATGTTGCAAGGATAGGCACAGTGTTTAATTTCAAAGGGTTTGATGTTGCAAGGATAGGCACAGTGTTTAATTTCAAAGGGTTTGATGTTGCAAGGATAGGCACAATGTTTAATTTCAAAGGGTTTGATGTTGCAAGGATAGGCACAGTGTTTCATTTCAAAGGGATTGATGTTGCAAGGATGGGCACAGTGTTTCATTTCAAAGGGTTTGATGTTGCAAAAAAAGCAAGGATAGGCACATTGTTTAATTTCAAAGGGTTTGATGTTGCAAGGATGGGCACAGTGTTTCATTTCAAAGGGTTTGATGTTGCAAGGATAGGCACAGTGTTTAATTTCAAAGGGTTTGATGTTGCAAGGATAGGCACAGTGTTTAATTTCAAAGAGTTTGACGTTGCAAGGATAGGCACAGTGTTTAATTTCAAAGGGTTTGATGTTGCAAGGATAGGCATAGTGTTTCATTTCAAAGGGTTTGATGTTGCAAGGATGGGCACAGTGTTTAATTTCAAAGGGTTTGATGTTGCAAGGATAGGCACAATGTTTAATTTAAGGGTTTGATGTTGCAAGGATAGGCACAGTGTTTAATTTCAAAGGGTTTGATGTTGCAAGGATAGGCACAATGTTTAATTTCAAAGGGTTTGATGTTGCAAGGATAGGCACAGTGTTTCATTTCAAAGGGATTGATGTTGCAAGGATAGGCACAGTGTTTAATTTCAAAGGGTTTGATGTTGCAAGGATAGGCACAGTGTTTCATTTCAAAGGGTTTGATGTTGCAAGGATGGGCACAGTGTTTCGTTTCAAAGGGTTTGATGTTGCAAAAAAAGCAAGGATAGGCACATTGTTTAATTTCAAAGAGTTTGATGTTGCAAGGATAGGCACAGTGTTTAATTTCAAAGGGTTTGATGTTGCAAGGATAGGCACAGTGTTTCATTTCAAAGGGTTTGATGTTGCAAGGATGGGCACAGTGTTTAATTTCAAAGAGTTTGATGCTGCAAGGATAGGCACAGTGTTTAATTTCAAAGGGTTTGATGTTGCAAGGATAGGCACAGTGTTTCATTTCAAAGGGTTTGATGTTGTAAAGATCGTCACATGATTTTTACTTCACTGGTTTGTAAAGGAAACAATATATTGTATTGTTAAATTTGAATGTTCACTTGTATTTAATTTTAGCACATTTAGTTGTCAGCCAAAAAGTGATATTTAACCCAATAAATAATTAAGCCTGATGAAACATTAAGAGAAGATTGGATCCAGTCAGGATGACAAGTTTTTATTTTACAAAATCTAAATAAGTGAAAAAGTGAGTTTGTCAAAATTGGTCACATAATTGCGAAATGATGGCTTGAAAATTTCGCTATCAAATTATCGAATTAACTGTAAAAGATGTTATTACTAGATTGCAGTAATAAAGACTAATCACAGAGTACCGGAACATTACACGGCACTAACACGTGCTTCCAACCATTCCCCCGTCTACTAGATTCATAACGATGAGTGTGCTGGGAAGTTGGTCAAATGTATTCTATGTTGTTTCACTGATGGGCCATATTTTTCCTGCTGCTGGACGAGCACAGACCACCATGGGAAAAATAAACCAAGAAAATTGGATTGAGTTCTTCATAGTAGATAGCTACATATATACCAAGTGATCAGTATTTTTTTATTAATATAAAAGTACAAAATACAATATAAAGAATATTACACGATATGTTATTATGATGTTCAATAATATATATAATATAAATATAAATAAAAAAACACCTCTAACCTTGTTACTAGAACTATCTCACGACTGCGCCTTTACGCGGTATCATTAGTGCAGTTATGGCAACGTCATCAACAACCTTCACATTATGAATTCACGGTTCCTCTACGTATACTAGTTGAGGTCAAGAATCCATTATATTACACATTTTATCAGTTTATTTTGCTAGGTTAAGTGTTTTCTCTAATGGCGCATGGTAGCAATTTATGTTCACCACAAATGAAATGTAACCATATTACAAAACAAAGGTAATTACTTAATTTGAAATGTGTGATTAGAGTTCCTATATATATATTATTTGTTCTAAAATAAAACACCATTTTACCGGTATAACATATTAAAAAGAAATGTTTTACAACCTTTAATAAATATTTTGAAACCGGCATAAATCTTCTTTTTAATAAGTGACGAAACGCTTCTGTGACGTCAAAATGACGTCTGTGTGTAGTTCAATCTCTGAGTGGTTAGGAAGTAGATACGACATAAATAAGACTCCCTTTTATCAACAATCGATAAACTTACATGTTTGTGTTTTCTGCCGTGACAAAGCAGGCGTATTTCAGCACTCCAGTCTCGCTACTTCCGGGAAAGTGGTCAGTGTGAACGGCGCTACAAGCGCTTTGTCACTAGAGGGCGCAACTAATAGGAACGTTGTATGACGCATCATTATAACTAACACATAAAAGATGTAAACTATGAATATGAAACAGCATGGTATGTTTCATATCAACACCTGATATTGTTATTGTAAAATTTTCAACATTATGAGATGGACACCTCAACTCAATTACAAATAGCATCTCGTCTGCCAGCCTCAATTAAAAACGTCTTATTCACCGTTACTTTTCGGAGTTCAAGTTCAGTAAATGAGTTATGCACTCATTCACAATTCTGAACAGCAGCTTCAGACAACAACTCTTATCAAATTGGTCAGTAATCAAATGAAAAGAAAAGAACAATAAATTAAGTTTAAAAAAAATGGATAAAACATATATATATCAAACTATTGCATACGAAAAGATGAATTCCGAATGAACTGTTCAAGGTCATCAAGCGTCATGATTGGCCTACCATCAGGAAAGCCATCTATTGTGTCAATATATTCTATAGCGCCCTCATGCACAGAGTCACTGTCGTCTGACGTCACATAGTCGTCAGAGTAGTTGACTGAATGGTGACTCTCTTCCCAAATGTCTTCGCTCGATAAAGCATTCCCTAAAACGGTACTTTCGCTTTCCAGAGGTGCTTCTTCTCTTGTCCAGTCGACTAGCGTACTATTCTCGACTCGGGCATGGTAAGTTGTCATCAGTTTGGGCGAAACTTGCGTTGGAGTAAGCGTAGTGTCTGCAAATAAAACAAAATATTTACATTAAATGTGGGACCAAACTTGCAAACACATTCGTTCACATGTTGGCTTACTTGTACCATTGGATTTTTCATGCTTGGCCATGTGACTATACTCGAAACAGGGTGACACTCAGAAGTCGCGCGACGATAAATCATGCTATGGTAGTAGATTTTGAAAACAAAGCTGCAAAATAGCATAGTGCTTATCTGACGCCGATGTATTTTAGAATTATTATTAGCAAAAAATGGCATCACACAGTGAGCAAAACACACACACATGGCGAAGGCGAACTTGTGACGGACTATTTGCTAAACACACTTTTAAAAAGTTTGCCGAAGTTGAGAAGATAGAAGGCCATGCTTAAAAAAAAGAGTGAAAGGGGAAAACTTAGTTGCATTTAGTGTGATTGTATGCTCTAAGCTGTCAGCGGAAGCGAGGTTACAGGCCGTTATTCTTACCACGAAGTAGGACATAACTACTCGTCAGTCATTGGCTGGCCTACGTGCTGTAATGGCAGGCTAATTCGCCTGGTTCGCTTGATTTGTCCTACAGATAGGCAAAGAACATTTGCATATTCTGATATTCATAACACCTTGAAATACAAGGAGTTAAGACAGTTCATGATCACACGGCCAAATAAAAAAATCGAGGACTCGAAACAAACATGACAAACACACGCATAGAATTTAACCGGAACGTTAAGTTTGGATCGAATGTATAAAGTATATTCAATTTACTAAAACGTATACGTGAGTGAAATTGAAAAATGGTCTAATTCAAACTATTTAATTATGTATGCGACATATATGCGGCGAATAAAAAACAATACGAAACATCAGACTTTTTCAGTGCCGTAGAGGACGCTATTATACTCACTTTCACATTGTCCAAAATGCTTGATCTCTATAGAAATGCCCTTATTGCAAGATGATTTTCTCATTTCGCAGCAACTTTGATAGGTTTGATTATCAGATCCGCAAATTCGATTATCAACCACTCCGTCTGGGTCTGTCTCTTTGTTGCAGTCTGTCTGGTTACATGTAACACACTGCGGTATCCCCGAATCCGCCGTGACAAGACATTTCTTACCCTGTATGCAACTAAACTTGTCACAAGATTGGGGGCCTACAATAGAATGCAAAACAATCCATATCAGTTAATCAGTGCATGGATCAGTGAGGTCAAGGGTGTTGAATGGTAGGGTGTAGTGCGAGTTCTAGTTAGGCTTCTGTGAATCAGGCAGGTGTGGGTGTCACTGTTGAGTTGCCTGAGGATCCTGCGAATGGGAGCGGGATGTATGTGCGCCGACACTCTACGTATCGCTAATTGTTTACTTTAGGAAGATCATATTCCCTGTACCTGGTAATAGTTGATATGCAGCATAGTTGTCAATACCTACCTCTACATCGCCCACTATATGCAACACCTATGCTACTTCCCAATAAACACGTGGCCGCCATTAATTGACAGGAGCTCTCGTACGTGACACCATCGAGACCGCATAACATGTCATACGGAGCAGGCGATGGGCATTCCGTTTGACACGACACGCAGTGGGGTCGGTTATGCTGGTCAACGATACAACTTAAGTTTCCGGGACACACAACGCCGTTGCATGTCGCTGTAATAAAGATATAAATAACATTACATTAACGTGGAATGTGGACCAACCACACTGTTGGACTATTGTTTCCGACACTTGTCGTCTTACAAATTACGTGTATTTTATTCGTCAAGCCAAGTCAAGCCGACAAGCCATGTTCCTTATCAGAAAAAAGGCACAATTAAGTGCTGAATTATCTTATCCTTAAGTTTTTATTTTGTTTTGGTTATTGATAATTATTTCGTTGTACATTATATTTTTGTCAGTCTTGAATTTCTTTTTCTCCCATAATTTTGGAAACATTGATTGACTTACTTTGGCACTCTCCGTGATACGCTACTTCGATGTCGCGTCTTTGCTTACAGCGGTATTTTCTCATTGCACACTTATTTGCGTATGTACGACTATCAGTGCCACAGATGGCCCCACGACGCTCGTCTCGAGAACACTTTAGGGAACATACACATCGCGGTTTGTTTTTTCTGTTCATTTTACATCGCCTATCTCGCCCACATTGCGCATGCTCACAGCTGTCTGCAATGGGAAAAAGAACCAATCAGTCCAGAATCATTGTCACACCAAAATATATGAAGACTTGTATCATAATGAGGAGACGTACTACGCTACATGCTGACATTACTAGAAAGTAAGAGGATTTTGATAAAACTGAAGTTATTCTTGATTATTCTCCAGTGTATTCTCTTTCAAATGTAACTGTTATTTACTTTGACGTTGAAGTAATGACCATAGCAGGCACGTATATCAGACCAGTGTTAAAGCGGCGGAGTCAACACCTGTGCATGCGGCAGATAGCCATAGCGTAACGTTGTTTACAAACAATCTCCTACCCATTAGTTGTTACTGTTTTACCGTCCGTTGTTATCGCCACTTAGGACTTAATTCTCGCGCATTAAGACTCTTCCGCGTTAAATAGAACACTATTCTATCGTCGTCGCGGTCTGGTGCCATGGCAAAGCGCGGCAGATGCACTATGTATACGATAATCAATACGAACCAATGAAATGTTGATATAACATTTATAAATAACCAATCACGACGAAGCTATGAAAGATGTAGCCAATGTTAGATGCGTGTCAGATGTATTAAAAAACATGCAAATACTGATGTCACCATTTTATATAATTCATAAATCCTAACGTGCCTATGTAGTATTCGATTTAAACTACGTGCAAACAAAAAATACAACGGCCAATTTGTGAACATTCAAAACAGTCTAAAATGTATATAAAAAGCAGTAGAAGTAAAATCACGACTGCGAGTCATGGAAAACCTGACATGGTTACTATGGTTACTAAACTCTCTATCATCCGACTACTTACCAACTGCCAACTCACCTTGGCAGAGGATGCAGCTTAGAGGACCAGTCTTTGCCACTTTCCATTTAAACAGCGTGCCGAAGGAAACGTCATCCGCAGACCAAGCCATTCTCAGTGCCCCTGACGCACAACAGTCTTTTTTCGTCATTTTGGCGCTGACAAGACCGTCACATCGTCCATCTTCGGTTATGTGCGACCAACATACCCCAGCTAATGATAAATTAGAGCAACGCGTGAGGCAACATAGAAACTGTCACCATGACAACAAGCAACTCCAACTCTGTCTCTCGATCTGCCATTTACACATGTGTTCTCATAAAAAAAGAACAACGGTTACCCCATCATAGATGAAAGCACTCGACTGGTTGAGAAATTGTGATGTTATCGATGATTTTGCAGTCACTCTCCCACATTTGCGAAAGTGTTCTTTTCACCTATTTACATCACGCAAAATACAACCATTTTATTTTTATTTTATTATAGTGAGCACTTGTTTCTCAAAAAAATACATTTTCAGGTTTTTGGTGACTACCAATATCATCATGCTTGTGAAGACACATGTCTTTTCATTCAAGTTCAATTTTTTAATATTTTGTTTCTTTATTGTAGATGGCAACACTATTTGAACCACATTCACCACATAACTCATACAATAAAATATTACATGACCAAAACGTATCACATATCTTGTATAAGAAATAAACGGCCGATTGAATTTGTTGAATGTAAGTTGAAGCCGGTTAAATCATAGACCCTCTGTTAGAGGGTCTATGGTTAAATCTAGTAACTGTATTAGTCGAATAAGGTCTAACGCGTTTTAAAAATAGCGATGTTTACGTGTGTGGCCGGTAACTAAAGTTGTACTATTTCAGCGGGCTATGTAATGTAATACATTGACGTGGAATGTGACGACCATCCTTGGGAAACATACAGGGCAAGTGTGGCCAATAGTTCTCACAGCGTTCAGTTTACTCGCGTTGTGGTAAGAAAATAAAGTTATGCGGAGTGTTTGAAGCGACTGCACATCCAGGTTACAAAAAGAGATACAATTTAAATTGTTTTGAATGCCACGAATATTTAAGTCAAGTGGGTTACGCCTCGCACGTGTTAAGTTAGTGAGACGAAATTAGAATTAAGAGGTCATGTTGGAGTTTGTTTCAGGTAGTTATCTACAAACACTTCAAAGTTATTTCAAGATTATGCCACCAAACAGATCGATGTTTGTAGACGGTGTTGTTTTCAAAAAAGTACACATTGGTGGAGTACCGTATCGATATCCCCCTCTTTGAACTGCCAAGAAAACTGAATTCAAACTATTGACAATATACGCACTAATACTTGTGATGTTTACCGCCACAGAAGCTGATACATTACATTGAGAATACCACATTGTTTATTTATGCGAATAATCAACTAATTTTAGTAAAACGTAAAATATATGCAATATATATATAGAAATAGTTCTGATGCTTAAATTTTAAATCAGAATCACTTATTCCAATGAAAAAATGACAAACCGTTGGTAAATTGTAATAGTGGTTAACCATGTTCACTTGTCTTATTTCAATAATTGAACTTCAGATTAACGTATTTTACAGCAATACACTGTAATATCTACGGTGACCTTGAATCTTCAGATTGCCCAAGTTTCAGTTACTCGCGTCATTTTAGTGAAACATTGACGTAACCACAGTCTCGCCTAAGACGACGCGACGCCCGCCACATATCTCATTCGTCACAATCAGACTAAACTAAGATGCTTTAATCGACTCCCTGCCTAGACTAATGACCTACAAAATACATAACTATGGAATACTTCCGATACACATAAATCTGTTTTCATTTGTCTCAGTCGACTGGTGAGACGACAGATAAACTCTCACCAAGTCATCAGGCTATATATCGCACAAAGCGTTTATAAACCCAGTCCGATATCTAATCTTGTGTAACTCCACAATTCTCAAAATAAAAACAATCAACTGCAGTCAGATGCGGTTCAACTTATTTGAGCATGTTGAAATAATTGTTTTTCGATATTGCATCTTGATACAAACATTAGAATATAAAATATAAACTTTGCAGTAGTCATTCGTTTGAGAAAATGCTGATAAACTATGTACAGATAATAAAACAGTATTTTATCGAGCGACTTCTGCTATGTTTGCAGACAAAACGTTATTTTATTTTACGATAGATTGTGGGTTTTTTCATAAAAATGTATTATAAAATAAATATAACGTAAATTATATTCACATTGCCTCTGTAGCACCGTATCACAACTAACAATTGACGAGCTACGTTGTATTCAATATAGGTCACATGCGAAGTATTCAACGCATGTATGAATTGTGTTTACAGGAAGTTTGAACGCGTACTACATATGACGCTTAAGGTAGACGATATTTAATGTACCTTGTATTCGGGTAGCAGTCAACAATGAACAAAATTCGTTTAGTACAAACATATATTTTATATGGACAGTTTTCATAGAACACAATAACAGTAGTATATTGTCACATATATAAATGTTGCACACTACGAATCAATATGAGATATGAGGGGCTTTACTTACCATACATACAAATGATAGAAAATGTTTCAAAAGGTCAGTAGACGGGATATTTTCCCGAAAAAATAAAATAATACCCCTCTACCAATTTGTATTCTATATTTGCCCAAACCTCGACATAATGAAACTTCGATATGAATGATGCCGTTTTTTTTAAACTAAATAGAGTAGAGTGTGTTTTCATCGAGAATAACTAAGACGCGTAAGCAGATTTGTCGGCTATTGATTGACAAACGCATCTGTCAAAGGCGTCGAATCGTAATTCTAAACACGTGACTTATTCGAGATATTAGCAACGCATGTAATACCGAGCAATGGCACACTTATGTTATAATACGCAAACGACGAGGCAACATTTCTACTAAAAACTATCAAAAACGAGGTTTTTCACGGCACCAGTTCAGTACTTATTTCATCGATATACTTCACATTGATGTGTGTGTAAATATCGATATTTTAGGAATCTTTAGTCGCATATAACGTAGTAATAAATAAGTTTAGCGAAATACACAACATACCTTGAACAATCGTGATTCTCACCGAAAACAAGAACAGAGTGCGTAACACGGTATACATTATCTGTGAGTGATCAATGTAACAATGTACTGGTACGCTACAATAAATCGATATCTATTTGGAGTCAAACGCGAACATATGCCTTTGTATATGCGTACGTAGAATGAGGCGAGACGTCCAATGCGCCCTTTTATAGATATGAGTTGATTAATGGCACTGTCAACGTGTGCTATGATAGGAAAATCAATATCCCCCAAAAGTGGACTTAACACAAACATTGCCGATCGTCTTACCCCGAAATGATTGCGACCACGGGTGGCGTGCACCGGAATTCTACAACTCTTTCAAAGCTACCGGGAATTGAATGACGCACTAGGACCCCGAAGGCAGAGTATGTTTAAAATTATTTCCGTTACCAACGTGTATCAGGCGAACATTTTTGTGTAAATAAATAATAAAACGGCCTTCGTCACGCCAGGGATTTCCCCGATAACGGAACGGATGTGAACACAAATTGAATCGTATGTGACCTTCACTTGGCACGAACTCAATACGTTTTAAATTCAACGACAACAAACCGTACATGAGAATATCTTAATGGTCAATATCTACTCCGGTTGTATAATTCCCGTTATATCTATTCTGATTGTATAATGCCCGTTATATCTATTTTGATTGTATAATGCCCGTTGTATCTATTCTGGTTTTATAGTGCCCATTAGATCTATTCTGGTTGTATAATGCCCTTTATATCTATTCTGGTTGTATAATGCCCTTTATATCTATTCTGATTGTATAATGCCCGTTATATCTATTTTGATTGCATAATGCCCGTTGTATCTATTCTGGTTTTATAATGTCCATTATATCTATTCTGGTTGTATAATGCCCCTTATATCTATTCTGATTGTATAATGCCCGTTATATCTATTATGGTTGTATAATGCCCTTTATATCTATTCTGGTTGTATAATGCCCATTATATCTATTCTGATTGTATAATGCCCGTTATATCTTTTTTGATTGTATAATGCCCGTTGTATCTATTCTGGTTTTATAATGCCCATTATATCTATTCTGGTTGTATAATGCCTTATATATCTATTCTGATTGTATAATGCCCATTATATCTATTCTGATTGTATAATGCCCGTTATATCTATTTTGATTGTATAATGCCCGTTGTATCTATTCTGGTTCTATAATGCCCATTATATCTATTATGGTTGTATAATGCCCTTTATATCTATTCTGGTTGTATAATGCCCATTATATCTATTCTGATTGTATAATGCCCGTTATATCTATTTTGATTGTATAATGCCCGTTGTATCTATTCTGGTTTTATAGTGCCCATTAGATCTATTCTGGTTGTATAATGCCATTTATATCTATTCTGGTTGTATAATGCCCTTTATATCTATTCTGATTGTATAATGCCCGTTATACCTATTTTGATTGTATGATGCCCGTTGTATCTATTCTGGTTTTATAATGTCCATTATATCTATTCTGGTTGTATAATGCCCTTTATATCTATTCTGATTGTATAATGCCCGTTATATCTATTATGGTTGTATAATGCCCTTTATATCTATTCTGGTTGTATAATGCCCATTATATATATTCTGATTGTATAATGCCCGTTATATCTATTTTGATTGTATAATGCCCGTTGTATCTATTCTGGTTTTATAATGCCCATTATATCTATTCTGGTTGTATAATGCCTTTTATATTTATTCTGATTGTATAATGCCCTTTATATCTATTCTGGTTGTATAATGTCTTTATATCTATTCTGGTTGTATAATGCCCTTTATATCTATTCTGATTGTATAATGCCCTTTATATCTATTCTGGTTGTATAATGTCTTTATACCTATTCTGATTGTATAATGCCCTTTACATCTATTCTGGTTGTATAATGCCCTTTATATCTATTCTGATTGTATAATGCCCTTTATATATCTATTCTGGTTGTATAATGTCTTTATATCTATTCTGGTTGTATAATGCCCATTATATCTATTCTGGTATAATGCCCGTTATATTTATTATGG